ACAATCGTGACCGTTTTTAAGTTGAAATTGAAAAAAATACATTTGCTATTTTAAACACAACTTTTTAGAACAATACCATTAAAGAAAAATTTTGACGGATGATCTTTGCCAGACTAACAGCATCATTAACGGAGTTATGCAAAAACCGAAATAGATAAATGAGTAGTGGAAAAGCCAAAATATACCGCGGATGCATTGAAATTTTCCATGCTCCCTCGATGTTTGCCTAAGGACCCCTGTAGTCTGGCATCACTGTCATGGTAAGCGGCAATGCTTTATTTTTTGTTTACCAGCTTTGATGGATTTTTTCAATGGCCTGTTGTAATCATATTAGAGTAAAGGTCCGAGTCAATCGCTTGCCACGCGGCAGCAACTCATAGTCCACCTTTCCATTGCAGTCCCGTCAAACACATGATACAGCCCAGACTTGTCATAAATTGGACCACCTTTTTTTTGGAGCCAGTTTTGTTGGAATGGTGTTGAACTTTTTGAAGACCTGATGTTAAGTTCCTTAGCGATGTCAAGGATACTGACGTGCCGGTCTTGCTCAACTTTCACAGTCTCATTAGCCTTTCCTATAACTGGTTGCCCATTACGAGAAGCATCGTTCATATCGGATAAGTTTCTTTCAGATGACACCAACACGACCGACGTTCATAGTATCTGAGATATGTAGCTTGAAAGCTATCTACTTAAAAGAACAATCAGTATTATTTCGATAAATATATATTGGTGATTTGACATAATTCGTTTTTTAAAAAGAACATTTTTTTTTACACTATTTAGGTTTCAGGTCGAAAGGCAGTTGGTTGTTATTTTTTCAGAAATACCCGTTACTTAAATTAAAAACTAAGTTTCGCTTTTTTATATGCCCACACACTTTATTGTGACGATATAATTCGTTATTGTTTAAAATTGCTTATCGTTTAAAAACAAGATTAAGCTTAGCTCTGAAATTGTTCTGATACAGTGTAATGTCACACGAAAAACAATAATGTTTCTTTAGGATTAGGCGCGAGCATTTACGAAAACTGTGTGCAATTGCTCCGTTGCCTTCGGGGGGTTAACTCACCATTTGATCACCAGGACAGATCCTTAAAAACTAGAGAAAAAAAAAAAAAAAGATAAAACTTGTCTGTTTGTTTTTCTATCTGTTTATCTAACTTAGCTGTCCTTAGTGACCCACAGCGCATTAGTCTGTCTCGTTTTGTTCGTATTGAAGGCTCACATCGCAGCTACGAGCCTACGAGTTTCGTTCGTTAAACTGGGCTCGTATGAGATCAAAAGACAACGATAGTTTTATGCTGTTTAAGACACTGTGTACATACGTCTTGACAAATATAAAGTTCGACACATCACAACAATTGTCATGGAGTTTAACTACAGTACCCCATCTGACACTGCGTTGTCTTTGCAAAGACTACTAAGTACGAAGATCAAGTCATATTTTACACATAGTATATACTCAATTTCATATATATATATATATATATATATATATATATATATATATATATATATATTCAACTTCTGCCGGCTGTTATCACTGGCTTTATTGTGTTACGCATGCCCTCGGTAGTTTCTCTTTCTCCCAGACTTCAAACCACAGGTCTGCTATGAATTATATGTTCAGAATATATAGAGAATGATACAATACTTGGATGCGTCAGATTGTCTGGATCAGGAGCACCTGTATTCGGGTTAATGAAACGTTGCACAAAGGTTAAACGAGAACAGGTTCCCAGCATTCAGTACGACTATATTCATTAATTCGACCCTGAACAATGAAAGGACATTGGATGTCGGGATATATTACTACTGCTAGTACTATATTTATTATGTATATATTTATTATAGAGTACTGCCACGATCGTCAATCAGTCAATTAGTCATTGAATATTAATGATTTCGCAACGCTTGTATGCACGCAGCGGTCACCGGCTGTTTGATATTGCCACATTTGTCTAGCGGTTATAGATTATCAGTTTTAATATACAGTGTTTCAACAGTTAGACTCAGATGTTCCTCTGAGTTTTCAAACGGATTGCTATGATAGCAGCGAGAGTAACCGGGCTTTTAAAGGTTTAAGTTCAAGTCTGGTTCTGTTCAAAATAATGGAGCATTCAACTAAGCCCATGATAGTAGCGTTGAAGGAGAGTTTTGGAAATCTAGCGGGCTCCCCTTAAGCGCGACCTTGTCTAGTTAGACGTCTAATCGTTTGGTGAGTTGGCAGAAGCAATGATGAGGGATCTGTACCACAGCGAGCTGGTAGTTAATGCCGTCCGGTCCAGGCTCCTTTTTCACAAGAAGTTTCGCAAACGCCTCCTTTTCCAAACACTCACTCGTAAATCTGTAATTCAAATCCAAGTTAAACATTTCAATTGTACCTGTTTTCAGGATCGATGAACTAGGTTTTAGTACGCTATCCAGGAAATAGGAATGCTGTGCGTCTAGTAAGGTAGCTCTTGTATCAAATCTTCGAATCTTCACAAGGCATTGATTTGACGGGTGTGTATCTGTGTGTGTAATGCGCTGATACACTCACTCTTCACTGATTCCTCTACAAGTACCACCCTTATTGGCACAGTAGTAGACATGCACGTATTGGGCGTATTTTCCATGGAAAATCTCCACCTCCTGGCCGTCCTTATCCCAGGTACGGTTTAAAAGCACCCAGTCGAAATGGGTTTCGCATACGGTCTGTTCAATACCAAACGAAAACGTTACGGAGATGAGATGCTATTCTAATCAGCCGACGCCTTTTGCCCTATACTTCAACTGAAATGTAGACCATTTGCAAAACTTACTTACAGATTTTTCCGGTAGAAGTGGCTCCAGTTCGTCCTGTCGCTTCTCGCGTCCAAGGGGAGCGGCTACGGATGAACAATCAATAACGTGCACAGCAATTGAATGAGAGATAAGTTAAAAGAGAACCAGTCTGCTGTTCACAAGTAAATTTTTAAGGTAGGACAAAATCGAATCGAAACGAACACTTGCCAAAATCAGGATTTGATTCTGCGTTATTATCTAATTTATGGAATACCATGAGCAAGAAAGATTCTAACTGTAATTAACACTACCTTGGATCGGAGATCTTCCGAGGTATTTGTTCAGTTTCTCACTGATCTCGGGCTTTACAGGTCGGAATTGAATAGGTCGATGCTCAGTGCGCGCAACCATGGCATCCTGAACTCCAAAAGAGATAACAAGCATGAGACAACATATGGCGGACCTCTTCACCGACATATTTTAAGATTTGTCAAACCCGATAACCGCGCGTCACATCTGTACATATATATATATATATAAGGGCGTATCGACCAGCTTAATTCGCACGTATGGTTTTGGTGTGATTCGAGCTCCCTATAAAGGGACAGGTGTAATTTTTCAGAACTCAATCCTTTAAGAAAACAAACCTTCTGTGTTAACCTGAAGTTAATATGCTGAATAAATGCTTGTAGCGAAAGAATCGGGATTATCTTCCTTGCGCTACGATTGCTGTTTAAGTGATTTATGTTATTTAAAACTGAAGCTTTGCCAGTGATTTTTGTCAACGCTCCCAGCATGTAATAGGCTACGAGTACATATATAGACAAAACTCTTCATTAATGTTTTTTAGTAGCTGAGAAACAGATTTATAACGATGTGTACTTACCATATAGTCCGATACCCCTTCTTCTAGTCGCGGCACTACTAGTACGGGAACAATGTTAGCGTCCTGTATCATTGACGAGTATTCTCCTATCTCTTCGGCCGCGTCCGAATATGGTCCCGCGATGCTGCTGTGCCCTGACAATGCGTGCGTCGTATGAGTCGAATCTCCATGGGAGGGGTCCACGGTTATCACCCTGTCCTGCGATTCTCTGCCGAGCTGCGCGAGTCGCTGCTCTAAGTTACGCTCCATTTCTAAAGAATAAACAAGTTTATACAACTTCAAATGATGTTGATTTCACATGTAAATAAGGTTCAGGTGATACGGTGTTGGAAATGTTAAATCATTCAGCCTGTACATGATATATATATATATATAGATATGAAAACAATTCTCTGCGAATTCATAAACCCACCTGCTAATACCCGAAATTTGGCGTTCCTCGCTGTGCCGTGACGGGCCTCCACCACGTCGGCATTCCGGACAATTGCTGCGATATAAATCGTAATTAAAACTCAATACAAATATAAAGAACTCAAAACAAGTATGAAGATAGACATCGGTTACTTCAAGACTGTCTCAGCCTGATTCCTTTCCAGGCAATGTTGCCTATGCTGTATCTGCACGTCCATCCGACGTTAGCTTACTCAATACGACTTGACTTATTCGTCGTATTTATCCAAATCTAGTTATGATATGGTCCTAAATTGCTACTATGGCCTTTTTACTTTTTTTTTTTTCTTCAATCCGTATATGAAGAATGTGGCTGAGATTTCTGGCGCCTCCTTAGTCAGAGCCGACCTTGTCAGGGATTACCGTTTGCAAGTTTACTCTTCAGAATTTCGTGAACTCCAAAAAGTTATTATCTTATTGCCCCGACAACGCGTATCGATGCAGCGTAGTTTCGCGTATAGATCTGTCGGCCTAGTTCTTGAGCGCTCAGGGAAACGGTTAATTATTGACTGCCCACGGACCATTTGCCACAGCTGATAATTTTTATATGGAAAAGAGGTCTGAAATGTTTGCTTTCTCTTTGCTAGACGTAGCTTTTCAATATTTCGAAGAAATGTGCTTTTCTTCGAAATATTGTGTTTTCTGAGGTATCCTTTTTTTTTTTTTGTTTTTATTGCTTAAGCTTGACCATAACTGTCTTAAAGGATATAGACTTTCGATGCGACTTCATTTGATACTTCTACTAAACAATCGAACGCTGTTAATTTCAAATTATCTCTTCTGCTAAAAACATTTATTTAGCTGACAATTTCGAAAAGACGATCGATATATTCTGCAACTGCACAAATATCCTTGTTATTTCTACAAATAGTAAATTATTTTAAATGTTTAAAAAAATAATACTGCTAATAGCACTACTGCCTAAGATGTAAACAATAACATACTAAATCTCTAAATAAAAGCTCTAATTAAGTAAAATATAGAATAGACATTCGTACATTCATTGTTATTCTTCTACCTTAAAATAAAATTGCAGCCGGCTAGAATGTTGCAACGCAAATTCCCCTTGGGAGAACGATAGGTAATTGTGGGCAAATAATGCCACAAGTAACCTGAAAGATAACAACCGTATAGAAAATAAACGGGAAACTTAAAATTGAGCGATCCGTTGAATGATTTGGGAGACAATCAGATTTAACCTGAGAAAAGCATTCACACCTAGAACAGCTACAGAGACAAACTTCACTAGCTAGATTTCGAAAACAGATCCTGAGTTTAGGCCGGATCATCTCAACGTTATCGCTCGTCTATGAAATCGATTCGTTTACCCACTCACTCGATCGTCTGAAAGCATGCCCGGTTCAATCTCTGTCGATGCTGTTAGTCCGAGCAACCTTGCCTTGCAAAAATGAAACATATTAAAAATACTTTATCGTTTATTAGAATTTAGCTAAGGGACGACAAGCTGAAGAGGCTCACGGATGTGCGAAACCCTATGATGTCTAATGGTACCCAATTGCAACTGTCGAAGCTAAACGAACGACGATGTTGAAAGCTATCCTCACGATATTGACTTACTTGTGCAGGTTCCAGAAAGCAAGATAATAAGGAGCACGTTAATGAGAATCGACATAGCACGGCACCATATGATTTTCCACTAAGACTGAGAATGCTCTTACACGAAAGAACGAAGCAGACAGGGTCATGGATGTGTGAATCAAAAGACCTGTTTCCGTTCGACGTTCGATTAAAGTCATACGCAACGCATATGTGACAGGCGAAAAGCGACGATCACAAACCCACACGCTTTGTCGCCGTCGGAGCAGAAAGGCTGGGCGAGAAACCCACTCGGCTAAGAGATCAACGGGCGCCGATGGTGCCCTCGTATTCTGATTGGTCAATTGTCGTAGCGTACGCTCCAGCTCTCTTTCCAAGTGAGAACACTTCCCGTCTTGAAAACGAATTGTGCCGAGACAGAAATCAGTGAATCAAGAGTCGTGCTGCATCGTGGCCCAATCAGGCGCATATATAGTGTACGAAAAACGTCGGCCACCAGTCGCATACAAAAACGCACATGTACTACAACGAAATACACGCTCGATAGTTGGACCGATTAGTAGCGCAGGGATAGCGCTAACGATCAATTGGCTAGCCAATGAGAGCCTTCTCGCAAGCAGTACCGCCAGTTCTCATAAAGGAAAAGGACGCTGAAACGAAAAGTCATCTCGATTCCGAGTTCGATGTTGATCCTCACAGTCGCGCACCGTTGACACTTTGTCTTTATTTAGACGGCCATGATGTTGCAGTAGGCGCTATAATCTATCCAGAAACTGTGTAGATAGGACTATATGCAAAGGTCGCTTTAGCCATCTCAAAGGCGCGCACCCATCTTAGGTCCACTCTAAGCAAATGGTCGCGTATGTGTGAAACACTGTGCTAGCCACTATAAGTGTTTGTCGGAACGGTGGATCAGATTCGTTGACTGACAGAAAGGTATCGTCGTCGCCCTGCAGCGTTATTGTAAATGACGGGTCCTGTCTCGTACAAGTTATGCCCCTCGACGTTTTTGCAGATGTCTGTCAAATCTTAGCGCAAAGACATTGCCCGTATAACAGAAGAAGTTGGGTCGGGTGATTATCAGAGATGAACTAACCCTTAGGTCAAGATGTTTCTTCGTATTTGCACCGGTGTTACCGACAGAGGCGACACTTCCCTATTCTCATCGATTCGTATTAGTAACGAGGTTTTAGTTCTCATTTAGGAACAATCCAACGTATTCTGTTTGACGCGAACGTACAGGATGATCGAAAAAAACACTACATAGCTTTTGTTTGATTCTTTTGCCCCTGTAAAAATCTACCCATGTGCATCGTGCTTGTAAGCTTGTATAACTTATGGTCGAAGAAAATTATGGATCGAACGATTAAAATTCTACAGCTACCTCATCGGTAACCAATTGCGTAGTGACCTTTTGACCATTTCGTATATGCGCCCGCGTTAAACGTGCCTCGTATCAGGTAACTTCAATTACCTATCATACAGGGGGGGCGATCGACACGTGATTCGCCTATTTCTTTTTTGTTCACTTCTCGTTTTCGTTTCTTGTGGATTGTATTCGTTTAGACGTTACGACATCGTTTCTTTCGACATCTTTCGTGCATTTTTTAGCATGTAAATGAGAAAAAACTTCGGTACTGTTATTGTTATTATGCGTAGAAAAAGTACATTGATCAGGTTCAAATGCGTGAGCAAATCAAATTCAAAAAAGAAATGAGGCATTCAAAACTATACAGATTTTTTCTATGGAAATAGCTGATGAAGTTGATTCTAGCTAGCATCGAGAGGCTTCAATATGCAATCAACCTTCGCTACGTAGGAGAAGCCCGAATAAGTTTAGATAATCCCAAGCATTTTTTATGACAGGAACTAAGTATGTTATGTTGGAACCCTTCATCTGAACCTTTCAGTTTTACTTATTTTCACTTTATGGGTAGCTGCCGCTACCATCGTGGTGCGAATACTATCACAAAGGTTTCTTTACTGTATAGCTTTGAGATCTAGTCTTTGTCTAATGTTTTTAAAGCTCGGCCTTCTTGTCTGGATATTTGGCTTCTTCATCAGGTGTATCTTCCGAACGCAACTCTTCAGAGGTTTTCCATGGATATTTCGTTGGGAATAATTATAATACTTGTATCTTTGGTCCACGGATTTGCTATCATCAACCAGCATCTTGCGGCGAAGTTAGTATGAGACAGAAGTTCTTAAATCGGATTGACTTATCATCATCTAGTAGACGGCAATCTGTATCAACAAACAGTGTACACACACACACACACACACACAAACACACACACACACACACACACTACTAGTGAGTATCTATCAAAGATAGATAGATCTATCAAAGATAGAGAGTATATCTATCAAAGATCTAGCGATCTGGTGCCCGTTGCGCGGCGAAGATTATCTGGGACAGATTACCAATAAGCAGTGGGTTAATTTAACATTATTATCCGCTGATCACAAAAACTCGTTCCTAATTAAAATCAAGAGGAAGTCCATGTATTTCGTATGAAGTTGGTGAAAACCGGCTTAAATCTGTCAATTTTTATATTAACCGTTACATACACAAAATGGGAACTGTTAGATCTTGCAATAAGTCAAATACAGCAGCTTATTAATTGTCTCATACTATTGAATGTTTCTATTTTCAACTGTTGTGTGGTCCTGAGACGGTACTGCACACACTTCCAGCTCAGTATTTTATGATGAATTAAATAGGCACAGAGGATCGCTTCTTCGAACTATATTTCATAGACTGGCTAATCAACGATGCGATGACCAAAACGAGCTACTTCATTATAGTTACGAAACAGAGGTAAAAGATTTTGAAACATATAGCTATAATTAGACAAGTACGAATGACGCGCAAGCAAGTTTAAAATAGGTTAGGTAAAAAAAATGATCGTTTTGAGCTCTGAAAATTACCTGATTGCAAATGGAGCTTTCTATGCTTAGATGGATACGCTGTGCTTTTTCATAGAAATCAGTTGTAGCACGAATACGATGATGGATCTCAATTCTGATTAGTGCTCTGAGGAATTGCAACACATTGGTAGTCACTTATTTGTCAAGAGATAATGCTTTTCATTTATGTGTTAGACCCTGTTGATCACGGTGGGCTGGCGCGCGATTCTAGATCGCGCCAACGACAAATAGTCGTGACAAAGAGTGGAACATTTTGTGCTATTCATTGGCTTCAGGTTTAGTAAAAACGAAAGAGTTAACGAGAATTTGTTAAAACTGAAAATATTATGAAGGCAGTATGTCACACGCTTATTGAAATAGCCGTTACATAATTTTATTGACAAAAGTGTCCGAGGTTAGTTGTGCAGCGCTAAATATAGGGACACCGCGACGCTTAGAAGGTAACGTATTTGCCTGCTAGCCTTATGAAGACACTGAGGTCTAGATTCGAATTCGGGTATAGACAAACAGACTTTGTTTCCATACTGCAAGCCCGCCATTTGATGCAATGGCTAATGGCGATACCGGACGTCAAACTCAGGACACAGAGTGACATAGCGGTGCTTTCACATTCATCGTAGAGTTGCTTAGAAGATCTTTAGATATTTAAGACCGGTTTTGTCTATCCTGCAATATCATACCTGGAATCTGGGCTAAAATTTTCATCCAATGGAAGTCTATGCCTTATTTTGTTTAGATCTGTGCAGCTTATGTATTAGGCGTTCATACGCTTATGAAGATGTCTACGTATTCAACAAGATAACGGTGATATGTGTGTGTATTTAAAGGAGTAACCCCCCCGGGGGTAACACTAATAGAAACAAATGCGTTGAGCAATCAACATATGAAAGGCGTAACCGCTGACGAAAATTCTTCTTTGTAACATTAATGCACTTTATAATTTTTTCTCTCAAACCAACTTCTGGGTTGTGAGTTTTTCGTATTGTGCACCCATTTCTGCCGCGATATCCAAAGTACATGGCAATACATGTGAATTTCAAGTTAATTAAATCAATACACGGACGATAAATTTATCCAAGGCTGTTTTCGATTAAAGTTGTCTACTCTATTAAATGCAAGTTCTGTAGTATGACGTCGTCACAACTGAAGTTCAGCTTAATGTGAAAAATGATCAGCATCAAGCCACCACTTGACCATCAACAGTTAGACGAGAGTGCGTTACGCGATACTTAGATGCGTGGTGGTGGACTTACCGGCTCCGACAAGCAAGCTAGCAAGAAGTGCTTGGAAGACGAGCGACATCGTAAACACAGCATTAAAGTCCTAACCGGGAAAGATACACTTGTCCACTCGAGTGGAGCCTACCGTGACGAGGTGGGCAGCGAGCAACGCACCTCCCTCATACAGTCGACACTCCCGGACCGGAACAATGAGACCTGCGCAGTGTTGCCCAGGGCCAAATGAAAGCTTTGGCCACACGCCGTTCGTTGGAGTTACGATGACTTTAACTGGTCGTGGCCCCACCGCGAACTCTGTCGTCCGCAGTTGTGTCCTATCTCGCCAGCTGTGGGCCTAAGAATGCTCCGCGTTCGCTCAAAGCTATGCTGGAGCAAGCTCTCCGAACAGTTTCATCGGGGGTGCCACGAGTGGTCCCCGCAAGTTCTTGCCAGTGGTACGTAACTTGGTTCTGATACGGGCACAGGAAGGACTAATCGGTGCTCTCCTAATTGTCCGTATTCTGAGCGAGGGCGCTGGACGTCAGTTGATAGTGGTCCCTGTGCTTGTGAGCCTATGTGGAGCAACAGGTGTTGTGCTTTGTTTTCCCGCCTTCACTCTTGTGACGTAGGCGATTCGGAGACAAACACCTACATTGGTTAACCGTAATTGCAGTCATGTAGGTAATGTAGAGAAAGAATCTGAGCATTAGCCAACACCTAGCATATCTGGTAGTCGGTGTATGGTCAAACGACGTCTGATAAAGGCAGTCGGCGAGGCTACTATTAAGGGAAAAGGTTGCTTGAGCCTATTTCTTGCCTAGTGGTTTAGGCATGAATAGAAACATAATGGATCGAGGCAGCCATGCTGTCTGAGGCGGCAAATTTCAGAGAATTCACAGGTCTTCGATAGGAAATAAGGGTAGCTATTACAAAAGAGACCATAGAGCGAAGCTCGCCATGCGGATTTTGCAGATTAAATCCATTGCACTCCAGCCTGTATGAGGCTGCCGAACCACGCCTATCAGTGCCGCACTGTCATTCGAGATTGAATGAAAAAAGAGTAGTATGCCACTGTCCTAAAGAAATTGCCTTTTGCGTGTCATTAGCGTGTGTATGATGAACGTAACTACATATAAAGTCTGAGCTTTAAATGCCTCGCATGTATAAATTAACGTAGCCGACGGTTTACCGAATTCCGAGGTATAATTATAAAAACAGAGGCTGTGCGTTCGGTATTCCTTAACAAATGTCTCACGTAAATTTTTCTAGATAGTGACTGCTGCAGTCACCGCAAAATGGGCTTTGGAATATGGGTTTGTACCAAGTCAGGTGGCGCCGGCGTCACAATTGCGGGGGCACCGTGACTAAACGCTGCTTAGTCGCTTACCTTTCGAGTTAACTTGCTTATAAATTAACTGAGGTTCTTTGATATGAAACGGAAACCCACATGATGGCCATTGAATCAACTCCTTACCCGCCTTTTTCAGTCTTCTCGAATGCGAGTGGAATGGAAGATAAAGCTCAGCTTAATGTGTCATTTATAAAAGAACCCATGTCTGATCCACGTTTACCGGGTTAGTGATCTTTTGCCAGTTGCTGAATATGGCGCTCGTATCATCATTCGACGATTGAATGACTCAACGTTTAGTTCGTTAGTTTTTAATATAAAAAGAAACGCTACTGCTGATCACTACCTATTTCGCTCCAAGATAAGAGCATATAATTAACGTAACGTTTCTGCTCAGCGGCATATCGAGGGGCGAAAGTTAAAGAGTGATACGTTCTTCAACTTCAAGAAATTAACATCAATAAACTTGTCGGTGGGGCGTATCGTAACACGCATGCCCAAACACTGTCTGCTGCTCGACCAGGGGCGCGGCTTACTTTTCATGCGTTCTTTCTCTCTATATTAGATATCCATGCTTTTCGCTAAAGTACTAGCGTATGCTTGAAGAGTAACATTGATTCGCCTTACCCTCTTTGTATCAGCAAGCTAGTTCCATTAGAGTCCCTAACATAAACGTGAATCAAGATATTTGTCGACCGTTTCTTATCATACCAATCGTCTTCCTTCGACTACTTCATCCTAGTCTTTTTAATCAGCCAATAGGGCAGCTTATATCATTGCAATAAAACGACATATGTACATATTGTGCATACATGCATAGGCATAATGGCTGTTGCGTAGTCAGGAGACAACAAGGGCCGCGGCAGCGGCTACGGCGGTGGCAGCATTACGAAGATTTACACTGCATCTCTGTTCCATACAGATATCACAGGAAGACGTATCTACAACAAATGTGTGTACAGTAACAATCCATGTCGACGCTGAGGGAAGACCTTCAAATGTTTCTAGATGCGCTCACATGTGCTCAACCCCCATATGTCCTGCTACGCTCAAAATGAGTCTAAGAGCATAGATGGCCCCTTGCCGTATTGCAAGGCCGTTACTGATATAAGCAACATTTGCAAAATGTCCAGTTTCTAAAGATAACAAATATAACACCTCACGAATGCAAAGATGTTACTTGTTTTTGGTGAAAATGATTAATCTGCTGGTCATGAGAACATGAGTGACCTTTGAACGAGTGGAAGACTTTAAAATGTATCAAAAAGAAGTCGTTTTCATAACTCTTCTTTGATTCTTCCGTCCAGATCTCTGACAACTTCCACACCTATTACTTCGATTAGATCTAACGTGATAGAATGGCACGACCACGTTCAATTGCCATCCAGAATGGGGTATGTACATATAACTTAACGTTATCTATCGGAAGTATACGTAAATGCTTTTCGCAATCTTCCTATCTTGTGAAGGTGTATTGGCGTATGCGATACACGCTTGATTGGTCCATGTGGCTCTTCTTTATAGGCGTGTAATAACGCTTATTGTTGAAACGGTACTTTTTATAGCTCGTTTTAGGACGACACACCAATCGGCTAAAAGGATGTACCGTTATGTCGGAACAGATAGATTTCTGAATATTGGCAACGCTTTAATAAAAGCCGACAAACAGGGAAATGCAACTTCCTTATATATTTATGTATGTATATATAAAAAATCATCGTATCTAATCGTGCAAATATGTTGCATTACTGTGTTCGATAGTGCTTGTGTTCGCGCTTGGAAATTTCTCACTTACTATTAGAAGAACACAAAAGGCCAACACTTCCGTCATTTCCGTCAGGGGGCATAGTAAGTACACATGGCTACTTCGAGTTGTCTTGCCCCTCTTGAGCAGCTATCTACTTCGTTAGGCAGCATTTACTGTTTGTATTCGTACAATTGGCCATTCTATCGACTCGAAATTGGTTCGGTTATTTTTATTCTACGCGCAAGGTTAAGGATAAACTGCGAGATTTCCGTCGAAGTGATACAAAGCAGCTGTCAGCTATGAAAACCTCCCACTGGAAGGATTAACATGTAGGGGGTGAAGGCTGGGAGTTGGCTAGCTAATAAACTCGGACACGAGCAGTTCAATTAAGCATTAGAGGTATTAGGGAACCTATCGAGAAATTGGCTAACTCTACTGGGTTTGACGGATACTGTACCGTTCGTGTGCATTAATTAGTTTATTTACTACAATATACACACGGTAGTAGGACTGATAGGTATGAAGGTAGTGCTTCTCCTGAAAATCACTTAATTAATTGTGGATATGAAGCTGATGTTATTGAATTAAAACAGGCCAAAAGCTATTGAAGGCCCTTTATCGTAGGCGTCGCAAACGAAGAGCTGTGTATTGTGCAATTTGTTGCTATATAAGTGAAAGCTAAAATAGACGATAATGTTACTATTGATTGTTTCATTTTACTGTTCCAAATAGTCTTTAAGGGAAACTTCAAGTACTCAAGGCCAAGAAAGCTTCAAGTATTCGCAGTGAGAAATCATCCCAGATTGACTAATTAGTCTGTTGCATATGAATTCAAAACGTTTATTAAGCGGACTATATTTAGGTATTGTCTTCTGAAGATACGTAACGAATAGTCGACTTCCAGTTTATCCCATTGACGCTGCTACCGTTCAATGATCTCTAGCCTTTGACGGCGACTTGTCCGACAGGTGAAACTGTCTTCACTGAAATAATTAGTCACACCACAGACGAAAGCTATACGTAGAATTTTTAGGGACTGCACCTTAAAAACGGGCCTATATTGGTCTTTATGTATGCCTAAATAAGTTAATATCAACCACTGCTTAGCTGAATGGATATAACGACGTAGAACAATACAAATGCACACTCGTACTATATTCGACTCTTTTAGAGGGGAAGTTGAAGGGTGCAATATGGTTACGCCTCTCTTTCAGTACTACATTATTAGTTTCAGCTTACATATTATGCCATACAAGAATATATGCCTTGAGTTTTCAGATAGTCAGATTCGTATCTAGGAAGTGTGGGGGTCGAGATACGATATGGGCCTGGCTTTCACCGCATTGGCTTTAGATAAAATTCTTAGTGGTTGACCTTCTTTCTGAGTCCAGCTGTTTTATAAATAAATGGTCCTATTTTTGATCCTTTGCAAATAAACAATCTGAACTGTAGCAGCCACAGCGATATCACAACTAAAGCCACTCTGCTTAAAGAATAATGAAATTTATTTACCCGTTTCAGTAACATGAACGGCTGAGGGAGTCAGGAGATTATCGACACTAGCCATCGCGCCCACACCGTTTATTTGTCCTGCTTGCATTCCGTTCAAGCCGCCCACGGGAAGAGCTCGATTTCCTCCAGAGACTTGTATATTCAAATCAAAATTCATACCAAGTTATCTTCCTATGTAGAGCGTTGTTATCTCGTAAACCCATTGCTCATGTGGTAGCATCTATGAATATTTAAAGCCTTAACATACGAGTGTCATAAAACTTAATAGCGAAACATACTCGGATACTGTGTCTGCCTACACCTCTTTCTACTGAAATACTGTAAACAACGGTATGATGAGTTTCAACATAAAATGAAGATTACATTAGTAAATGTAATCGTACACGGCAAGATTCTAGATGAGTACAATCTATAGCTGAGGTAGAAACAACGAGAATTAAACTCGACGGAAAAAACCCGAAGTATACACTTACCGGTCATTACACCTCCATTATTTCCACCCATGAGGCCCATGCCACCCATGAGGCCGGCCATGGGGCCGCTAATACCGCCCTGAAGGTAAGGGCTTTGTGCAGAGTGACGGAGATGACGCATTGTTCCAGCCATCAGACCTATACAGAAATTTATCACAAGCAAACAGGCATATATCACGTTTGACATACTGGATATCATCACATGGATGTCCTGCGCGAAACGTTTGCATCAGTTCGAAACACTTACCAACAACACTCTAGACCCGCTTTTAGCTGTGCTATGCCCATCAGGAAAACCTTGGTTCACTTCAAATAAGCAATTATTATATCGCTAGAAACAGATACATTAATCCATCATGGGCTCAAAAGAGATATGTACTCATATATGTAGAAACCGATTGCTGAATATACCTGTATCGTATATGTTGCTATATGCATACTATATACATCTCACATGTTCGAGCAGTTATTGTTTGGTGCGTAGATATATGGCAGCTGAGAGACCGATGCAGTAATTGCTATATACCCACCCTGGACTAAACTCGTAGCGTACACTCCTGTCATGGTTAAAATGTACGTTACTTATTTGTTCTAACATAGTAGTATAAGCAGTACCATTTACCTCCTCCTGTCGAGTGGCATTGTTGTGCGCATTGGGACATGCAGACGTCTGAGATTCCCATACCGCCCATAACTCTCATAGGGGCAAGAGAGGCGCCTAGACTATTCGATTGACTAGCTATCCCTGGCAACATCGATGTAAGTTGAGCTTAAACAGAAATTCATGTTAAATTCTAAATCAACCTTGTAAACTCAGAAATCGTTTTATGTCGTTTCCATATATACAAATGCTTGCGTATGACCTACGATTGAAATGTAGAGACGTCATAAGTCAATATGTAGGTGCGAAGAGTTGATCGAAGAGCGCCAAACAGAAAATGTCTATCGTGCTAGCAATATTATTGGTCGCTAATATTAACTCCGATCTAGCCGGTACCGAAAAGTGCATTTATTGCCAAGCTAGAAGACAAAGATATAGTGCAGAGGCTCGTTACTCAACACAAGCTTCATACTAAGTGAGTTAGCTGAACAGTTTATGAAATTTAGTTAGTCTGACCTACCAGAAGCAAGGCCAACAAAAAAGAGAGCTGCTAGAAAGGCCTTCATGATGCGGGTGGGTCTAACTGGGTTGACTCAGCTCGTAGTATGCTGCGTCTACGGATACCAAGACCGGCCAATATTCGCGACTTAAATACTCAACATCAAGACGGCGAAACGTGACAGTACGGAAAACATCAAAGTTCGACTACGAACCGAAACGTAAAGCAGCTGTTTTTCATGGTAAATTATTTTGCTATGACCGTTCGAACCTTCTGTTCTTACGAAATAACGAGCGTACAGAACGAACTTCAGATGACATAAGATAAGACAATTTCGTCGATCCGTAGTAGCGTCCCCGAGGCATAAGTGAGCCCTGTGTCACCCGGATGGATACGCGCTTGTTGAAAAAGTATACTTAGGCTTCTACTAACAATTAAGATGTCGCTGTTGCCTAATGCATTCGTACGCTGTGTGCTGGCAGTGTTTCTAAATCGTCGCCCGCTTCGGAGCAATAGACTCTCGTGGATAGGGGGTCGTATCAGAATAATATAGAATAACTAAGGTGTAGCATCAAAGACACATAAGGACGCATCTCTGGTCGTGTACGTAGGAGCAGTTATACAGGCGAAAGTATGCTGGCAGTGTTTCCTGTCTGCCCCTACTTTAACCGCGCATCTCATAACTGAATAGCCGCTCAATTTAATTTTGTCCTATTTCGAAATCGATTTATCTAACTAAAAATTCTCTGTTATTTTCTATTTAGTTTTGTTCTTCTGCACTGTTTTAACTAGTGAATGATCATAACAGACACATGGGCCAAAATCATTTAAGGAACGGATTTAACAATTTCGATTGAGAGTCTAGTTTTACGTATACAAATAAGATAATACTGAAGGGAGATTGATGTGGTTCAGTGAATAAATCAATGATCGTGGATATATCTAGCTGCCCACCTAATCAATGAGTGCTGGGGGCGGGACACACACGGGTGGGTAGAGTAGCTCAGCAGTCGCACAATGATATATCTGGTTTGTATGCAAAAACAAGCTACCGTGGCGGACGTATAGCAATTACTTAATAACAACACACGTCGACCATTAGGTATAAAATGGCTAGCTTTTTAGTACGGCCGACTTTTAGATGTTCCCATTTGTAGTGACTGAAGTGCTAAGCGTCACTCATGACGCCGTATGTCCTCGTTCTATTCTAATGGATGGTCAGTGTGACATATCGATCTACTAATAAATAGAATTGATTCACAAACACAAAGCCTTTACTCTAATAGCTCGTACGTATTTGCTTGATGATCCAGTTTGATTAGAACGATGATTTTCTGAGAGAGGCGTGTCTGCTAAGAAGACACGTAAAACCTGGGAGAATTATCCTGTCCTCTTCTGAGAGGATAATAAATTTAGGCCGTCATTACATTTGCACAACCATCTAACTGATATAATAGTCTCGTTCTGTTGAATTTCTGAAAAATATATATTGCGTTCCTGCCTCGTTACCTAGTGGGAAGCTTGTCTAAATTCGTTGAATAAACCTTGTTAGAATCTGAAATAGATGATATTTTTCTAGTTTCAATGCGCGCTAGACTTTTTTTGTCGCCGATCACTTACCCAAATCAAAGAAAAATATTCCGCCGCAACCTAACCCCGTGTTTTCAACCCCGAAGCAAGTTCAGTATAAAATTTCTGTTCGCCCGTCGTTCACCAGCCAAACTTTCTCCCTTCCAATAGGCCCTTGATGTATTTTTGAGCGGTCCACCTATAATAGGCACTTTCCCTCTGTGATTCCTTTGTGCACCAACCAAAAAAGCCAGGAATTGGAAACGTAAGTCAATACTAATAGGTCGTCCCAATTTTTGTGTATTCGAGTAGCTCCTGCCGTTGGCATCACCTGGACTTAATACCGCGAGATAGGTGTCAGCTACAACATTTCTCAATGCTAGCAGGGGTCAAAACCACCCGTAAAAAATTAGCTCTAACGGTATTTCTGGCACTGGACGACCAGCGATCCAGATATATATCCATGTACGCTCTAATCGGAAATCTGGTACGTAATATCAATTTCAATCAGCCGATACAGACTGGATAGCTGCCACAATGCAACATCACATACATAACACTTTCAACCGGGTTTGGTAATTTTTTTAACCTAATGAACATCAACTGACCTCAGATGTGCCGACGCTTCATTGAAGCAGAATCAAACGCGTAAACAATTAAGCGATTTAAAAGTAATGGGCTATAGATAGTATCTTTTGCTTCACATTACGCACTATCAGAGGTTATTTTAGTAAAGAAACAAATGCTTCGAGTGGGCTGTCTAAAGCCACGAACTTAAATCACGTTTTTACATCTATATTCTTAGCGTATTTACTATGTATGAAATAACGCAACTCTGGCTTATACATTTCAGTTTTTCTTCCTACACTTGAAGCTGTGTAATTCTACGTTTACGTCGGGTGACGATCCCTGTACCCGCCCTTTGGAAGCACTTACCGTTTGTTGGGCACGTCCTGCATTCCGTAGCCTGAGCTCGTCATTTCTCAACCATATTTTTGTGAAAAATGACAATGTTATGTCTCAATGTATATTGATAAATTTCAATATATCAAAAATAAGCCATTTAGTCTGACGAGCTCTCTCGTATTTTGTTGTTTACCCACTGTGCAAGCCTCTACTATGCTTTTTGTAAAAGGCTTCCTTTGCAGTCCATGGACCGTGCAATTTTTTATCATGAAGACAAATGAGTGCTAGGACAATTATTAGCACGTAGACTGAAATTCATTCACATCTTAAGTTTAACGTCTGCGTATAATATTCAGTAATAGCCGAAACGGCATTGGAACTTCTTTGTTTTATTATGTACGAAGCCACGACCTAACAGCTAGCGGCTATTTCATAACGAAATACTTCATTAACGCCCCCCTACTCTGGGCATTTTTTGCCTAGAAAAATCTCCTCAGAACCCTTTTTCTTCTACCTGATGATAGGTTCAGTATGTGGCTCTACTTTATTATTATTACGTCTAAATTATATGAGAAGGACAAAGAAAACTGATACGTTTTCTAAAGTTCTAATTAATGGACTCGGGCGTCAATACTGAACTAACTATGAATAAAATGTAGAGAGACTACCCACTTTTTAATAATGATAATAATGATTATTACTGTTATTAAACATGAGCAATGAACGGTCAAGTTCTATCCAAAAAGAGTTGTTTATTAAAAAATAGATGGTTTTCGATTGCTTAATGCGAAATGGCTTGGTAAAGGCAAAAGCAGTAGAGGAAAATAACATTTCCGTTAATGATCGATCTTCTTATGCCTACAAGAGCAGCAGGCACAGTCTACACCTTGAGTTAGGTATTATTCTGTACTTAAGTGAACATTGCGAAATCCTTCTAGTCGTCGACAGCCCTAACAGCCGTGACGGAGAACGTGTCCACTTACTTTTGTAGCATTTTATATTTTCCTCTGCAGAGCGTACAATATCGAAAAAACAAAAATAGACGCGATGAACTTGCCTAGTACACGCCAGGTAAAGCCAACGCTACAATCAAAAACCTGTACTTAAAAAGCGGAAATGGCGCCTACAGGGTGCACCGTAAATCGTCCAGTATTTATTTTCCCAACGTTTCTCCTTCATAGTAAATGTATAGGCGTATATAGCGGGAAACGGGTACGGCTCTCATCAGCCACAAACGTCCTTAAGGTAGAACGCAATATTTAGACTATTTTGTTAGTAATTTACCTTGACAAAACGCGAAAGACAGGAACTACACGCCAGGCCCGAGTCTGAGTGAGGTTGCAGTGACAATGTTCCGTTTAGTATTAGTCGCCGTAGCATCAAGTGTACATGGCATCACGTAGTCTATATTATCATATCGCCCCACCGGGTCTCATAGTGATCTCATGGTTTACAATGGAGCTAGAGCTGAATCAGCTTACGTCGTAGGATACGATCGTAGGCTTGTAGCCAACTACGGTGTACCTACCCGGCTGAGAAACGTCTCTGAATGTGTAACAAACTCGGTAGAACCGGCTCGTTGACCAACTTCAAGTTCTGAAAATATTTTGCTGCCTGATTTTCTAACGAACGAGTTCTTGTGACTCACAGAACGGTCACTGAGTGAATTGTACAGAGGGTTCTTAATGGCGACTTCGTTTCTGTTGTTATGGATTGGCATTATTGTGTCTATTGTATCATATGGCCATGAATTATTTCATGAAGCTATTTCAGACCTTTTTTGCGGTGGCTCCCGTTGATATGCACGGAAACCCATCAACGTACTTCCAAAAGCATCTTGAGTAGTTAATAACCTCTGAATGCCTATGTCTGCTAGTACTGAAGGCGAACGTAAGGTTCAAAAAATGTTTTCTTTCACCATTAGATACTAACGTCCCGTTCTCTTGAGCTATGATCTTTTAAGTTACTTAGCATCGAAGCGAGAGGCAAGCTTACACCACATGATATTCCACACATTTGTTGATATGTTAGCGAACCTGGAAACCACAGACCTTTCTGAACCTGTTTACCTTATTATTAAGCTCTAAGCCGCACTTCTTATATTGCTCGAGCTTAACGCAGCCTCCATGTCTGAAGGGTACAACGGCCAATTTTTCCCTTCAGACTAATGGACAAGCATTGATTTGAAATACAACGATATCCAATTCACACGCCAAACATATTATAGGAGTGCTTGAGGGTTACCGTAACATCTACAGTGTAAATGTTTCTCGAGGCCTTATAACAAAATCGCTTTAATTCTTAGAGGTTGCTCTGAGTAAGCGAGTCGGACACGTGGATTAGTTTTTGGGTAAGCGAAGTTTGATAAAAGATAGATAAAACAGATACAACAGATCACTGAAGCGCATTCGAACTAATTGGTGGAGTAGTCTGTAGAAACAACACCACAAAAAAACGTTGACGATCACCAAATGGATTTACAATTTGTGCTAACGTAGGGCATATTTACGTTCGTATGGTAGAAGCGCTTTAGAACCCGCCAGTTCAGCACGCATTAAGAAAAAATCATCGAATGTTACTCAAAAACAAATTCAGTGTCCTGCTACGCATTGTCAAACTGGTTGTTTCTACACGATTTTGCAGACGCTTAGCTGAGCTGAACAATAAAATACGGTAAGATAACGGGTGAAACGGATACAATTTGGGAGACCCATGTAGCGTTTTTCCTCTATCATCAGCTAGCCCACTCATTGGCGAGTAGGTATAAAGAGGACGCGCGGCTCCGTATGACTGCGACTCGCACTTTTCTTGCTGGAGATTAATAATCGCCAGCTATGTTCAGTACAAAAGATCTGAAGATGCTTAAAAACCCATTCTGAAGAGTGTGTTTCATTAGTACTGCACATAACGTTCCACGATCTTTCAAAGAATCTATAACATAGCCTTTTATTACTTCGAGAAATTGTACAATACTTATGTATTGCATTTCTCAGTACATTTTTATCAAGCATACAAAATATCATAGCTGCTAATTAATCAAAATTAATTCCGGTTGTTGGTTTCTCAAGCTATCTAAAGTACGCGACCAGTTCCTTCCTTGAGCGTGTACTGACTCTCCTGGTTTTACCGAAACAGAAGGTTAGGCTATTCGTTACGTGACACGCCACTATTCGTCGAGGTACTGAAGGAGGGCTTTGATCTAAAAGGAAACATCAACTTGTCCGCTATTGTGAACTGAAAATCAAATACATCGACTCAGGATTATATTGATATTTATCAAGAGCAGTGGCCAACTCCGCCAAAGAGGACAATGAGAAAAGCCAGCACACGCCGTGACTCGGTCCGCGATTGATGAGTTTCATCGAATTACACACTAGGTATTCCAATGTCACGGTTCAGGTAACGGCTATTGCTGCCAAAGGTGCAGAGAAGCATATGCATGCAGGATGTTGTCTGTCAGTTGCCTCTCTTGATTTAGCGGCACGCTTGCTAGCCTATGACTATCGTTGTTTCAATATCATGCTTCTATCATTATGACTGTAGCCTATGTTTTCTGTGTACTGTTACTTAACAGAAGCTGTGAACAAATTTTCAGGATACTGACGGCAATGATACCGCCTTTGTTTACGGTATAAATTGGAAACGAGCATCTATGAGAAACAGATGTTAGAGATAAAAATTAAAGTCGTTAAGACCAACGTATAGCTCTTAGGGAAACAGCGTGCCTCGAACAAGTATATCTATACATCGTGAACTCGTTTTCCGATCCAAGTTTTGACAACTTATTACGGGAAGATACAACTCAACTACTGCTCTGCCATTCGTGATTTAGCCTGGGATCGATTCCATAAATTGTGGTAAAGTTTGTCAATCTTGCTCCGGTCAATCGTGGCCGAACAATGTTTTTTCCTTTCGTGCATTTTTCCTAAAATGTATTCTTCCTCGTTATTAGCTATCAGTGTTTAACTAGCAGGGCGATGATAATCATTTCTTTTCTCAATCAATCATCTCAGAATTCAAATCATCTTAATGACGGACGTTGTAGATAATTTATTAAATATCTGCTTTGATTAAGTTCTGAATTCAGTTCCATACAATAAAAGTTAGGTAGAGTTCTTGGCGGTTTTCCAGGCGGCAAAACCAGGTTTCATACTAAGCTTAGTTAAAATGTAATGTAAAATGTAAAGGAGGTACCTCCGTTGACCTGACACATCAAAGCTTTTCGCATTATGCCAACAGCAACAACTCGAATAAGAATTCAATGAAAAATAAAATAGCTTTTCTTTCATTATTTAGGGAAGTCACTATAACAATCTAAGTAAAAATTTACAAAGGTGGATTTCTGGAAAAAGTTCTTTGACCACACGATGTAAGGCTTCCAGGCCTCCGTTCAAATTTAGATATTGACTGTGTCTTCTTTTGTAAGCAGAACGTATCTATAGTAAACTAAGTGGTAGAAGTTAAGATGCTAGTTGCTGGAATCAGCGTATTGTGCAGTAGCGACGCGGCATTTCATCCAGCCAAATTAATCCTAGTTTTTGGCGAAGTTACTGGCTACAATCCGCCTATTAATGCGTAAGTTATTGCATTGAACTCCGACAGGATTCAAATGATTCTCACGTACAGAGAGTTGTTAAACTGTTACTAGTGCTTAGTTATTGACGCGAACTCGGTAAAGATGACTATGAATTCCATAAAAAAAAGAGTTTGTTCACTTAAAAACGTTTCAACATCAAATATATATATATGTATATACAAACCGGCATTGCGTTCGCAAAATGAGCCTGGAGTGCGAGCAGGTACGACCTTGCGGGCTTCAGTGCACTGAGAAAAACAGTTATCGGCGCTGTCCAATGAAATTAGCAGTCCCGTGTTTGCTACTCAAGGCAATCCTAATGATTCATAACAACCAACTGGGGCAAATCTTTTCTCGATAAACTCACAAAGATCTTTGCATTAAATTAATATAATATATAGCGTGTATCAAATCACTGTACTGTCGCCTGTACATATAAAGAAGAGGGTTAAAGTTCATATATCAAATTGTACTAAATAGAATAAGTATTAAGTTGAATTTGAATGAAATCTCTCTGCTATCTTTTTTCCAGCAAAAGGCACGAGACGCCGCAAGAAAATGCTTGAGAAGCGTTTTGCCATGTTTTTTTCTCGGTAGCAACTCAAATTCATGTCCGTTCGTTAGTTCAAATGATGAGTTCGAGCTCGAAATTATACCTTCGTAGGCGAAAATCTTATGCATAAAAAAAGCCTGAGGTTTCATATTGGATTTATTAGAAATTCGTACAATTATGTTAGAAAAGTAGATCTATAGAGGCGTGATTTAAGAAAAAACATACCTAAATACTCATAAGTACTTCGTACCCCGAATTGTCACTCCTAGAAACAAGAAACGGTATATTAAGGTAGAACCCGACACATGTTTATTGACGTCTCCTATCTTTCATTGCTCTCATTATCTCATTATTATTGCTCCATATCTCTCATTGCTTGTCACGGGCGGAACAGTGAATCCACCTAATTAATTTTCTGTGAATACTCGTTTCTTCATTGCGACTACCCTTGTTTTGTGAAGTTGATATTCTACGCCTATAGCGAAAAAGACGGCGCGAGACGCGCGTGCCAAATATAATTTAAGCAGTGCCCATTAAAAAGTATAATATAGTTGATAGTTTTGGCTGCAAGGACTGCTTCTACGGAATGGCTTAGAGCTAATTCTTTTCGTCTCTGTCGATCTACATACGATCATTGGCAAGAACTACTCGCCACGGCAGCTTACCTCCCTAAAACTGACGTCCGTAATGGGTATATGTGCTTGATATAGCGTTTCGAATAGTCATATCATAAGTATGATGTCAGTGGGTTGCCTCTTAAAGTAAGGCGGCTGGATAAACTCATTGATTCAACTGTTAAATACGGACTCCATTCAATGTCTAAATATGCGAATAGGCTAAGCTGACACGTAGCTGGTTGACTGACGCGCTGGGACGCGGGCGTCCCCTTAAGATCTAGACGATAGAAGCATTCGCAGGGGAAGGTAATACAACAATGAGCCCAAGTGCAAGGCTCGTTTTCAAGCTTGTTGCTATGGCGTGAGAAGATTATTTGTGATAGACATACCGCTTGAAAAATCTGATACAACAACTACTACAGAGGCTCAAGTTTGACGCTGTTCATCCAAAGGCTATATATATATATATTTATTGAAAAGTTAATTCGTTTACCGATGGTACTACTACGAGTCTATGTAAAAGTATTGTTTTGCGTTACATATAATGGAAAGCACAAAATGTGCATGCGTCTGCACAGTTACGCTTTGGGCTGTAAAAAGAAAAGCTCGGTATCGCGAGTTCAAGCCTCACGATGTGGTATAATGCAAGCACCAGCTGCCCCGCAGAGCTACTCAATATAATCTAAATTTGACCATCTCTCTTATTTATATGTTATGTCATTCACTCTGCATGAGTGCAATAAATCTGCATTTTCGGATATTTTTGTCCACTTGATTAGCTGGATTTCAAAATTTATGTTGCGACATTTTCCTTTGCTGACCTTTTTTGTAGTCCCAGTTCTGCGGTCACACACGACCCAGCACGCTAGTCGCTACTCAGATATACAGCTCTGTATATAGATCGAAGTAGATACAGAATAGATGACCGAAGTAGATACAGAATAGGTGACCGAAGTAGATACAGAATAGGTGACCGAGTAGAAGTAAATAAGCTCATTTTTCTGTGGCTCAGGAAATGATCATGGATTTAGACCACATTCCGAAACAAAGAATTCGGCAATAAACCGCGATACCGCGGATTTTTTTATTTCTTATCAGAATAAGAAGCTATATAATTATATAATTAAGTGCTATATATATATATATATATATATATATATATATATATATATATATATATAATACCCTCAAATAGCAATAAGGTAATAATGCTTTTACATATCCCCATCTACCCTCATTTATTACTTCAGTGTCAGTGCAGTGAATGGTTCTGTTACTGTTTTCACTAATAATTAACCCGTGACGTCATTATTTCAATATTTTCCATTGCAATTTCAGGGATGGATCTTGTTTACGAAATTCCCGAAAACGAACTTTGCCGCAACTTTAAACGGATTTCCTTCCAGGTATTTTATTAGCTTTCTATGATTTCTACGGTATCTTTCCCGAAATGCATGAATCTATTCCAACTTAAATGACATGAATTCGTTGTCCTGCAAAGTTGCCCGTGCATTTGCTGCTTGCGTATTGCTTTATCTTCGTATCATCGTAAGCGGGATCGAACCCCACACGGTTCCAAGTTGCAAAGTACGTCGTACTTCATGGGCTATTACCGCGGGGGCGCTTTATCATTGAAATCTATCGCCTTACGCTTTTGAGTAGACAACTTGAATGGAGGGAATCCCGAAATCGTACCTTTTATGCTCTGTCTTAAACGGTCCGACTTGGCAATTTTCGCGGCAGTGTTTGGTAGCAAGCTTTCAAACCTCTGCATGGCCCTACGGCTTTTTGCGCAGCCCCAGTGTTGCAGACAGAGTGCCTATTTAGAAGGACTGTTTTCCCTCATACTTATAATAATGTGAAGTATGTAAGAACGAATAATTTAAACAATAGGAGAACAAAGCATGTCCTAATAGTCCATTGACACTTAACCGAAGTGATACTACCTTTACAAGTTTAATATTAAACGGTATCTTTTTACGATCTTTATGAACCGCTTGTAAGTAATTGCGTTTTATGTAGCTAGCATTCAAAAACAGAAAAATACGCAAATTGTCGGCATCGTACTCGATCTCTAATAACGAACTTTCGGAACAAAATTCGGCCTACCATATTCTCGCGTTAAATCTGAGCCGTTTACCCAAGCGTAATAACGAAAATTTGGTAACAAGATAAATTCAGTTACTTCAGAAGCTTTTCCGAGGAATCGTCGTTTGGTGTTTGTGAATTCAAGAGAAATTGCGCTATTTTGGGATGACCACCTGAGAGGTAAGCGAAGTGGGGAATTAAAGCCCCCTGCAACCATATAGTCTGAATATACTCTTTAAGTACAGCTGCAGTCGATCGCAAAAGGTGATTACAGACAGGGGCCGGTCCGCAGATATCGATAATTGCATCGATAACTTCTTTTGTAATCATAGCCACTAATGCGAAGTGGATGTTCTTTTATTAGAGGATGACTCATGTCGTGTTGCAGGGAGGTGCCAGTATTGAATTTTCAAACCTTCGAGGTAGCACGAGCTACTAATTATATAACCCAGTTAATGACGATACTGCATTTTCACAATTTTGGGGAACGAATCACTAAAATATCGGCAATACACTGCAAAGTTAGGTTTCTTTTTCAAGTTCCTTGCGTGCTTAGACTATGTAAGCGGAGCCGTAGACGAGTGGCTATCGAGTTATATGGCCCTTTCTGTTCTGCCCGTTATGCAGCCTAATACTGTGTTAATATTTTCTAGGCCATGATAGCTAATATGGACTAAAACTTACCATCTATTATGAATTTAAAAACTTTAACGTTAAACCCAGCCCAGTGGTACATACCTATGTAACACTTATGAATGGCTACTGTACTATCAATTGCAACTAATACCCAAAACACCTAATTCGACCACGGGTTGATCATGGATAAACAGCCTTGCCCTGTTATGATATTGATAGTTTACGCCATTAACAAGTCATATAATATATATAT